TGGATCTAGCCTGATTTTACAGGGCCATAACTATCTGTGTGCAAAACCAGGACTCCATATGCTACACTAAGGTTGGGCAAAATTTGGAATACAAGAATTAGGTCCCTTTCAATTCATTAGTTAAATGGGAAGTTGACATGAAAGGAAGTCAATTGAAATTAAAAGGAATTTCACAAATTTTGCATTTTGTTTGCAGAAAAAAAAAAAAAATGCAAGCAATATTATGAAGTGTGTAATTATTATAATTGTTTTTTACAATTATTTGAAAGTGAAAGTGAAGTGAAAGTGACTCGTGGCCAAGTATGGTGACCCATTCTCGGAATTAGTGCTCTGCATTTATCCCATCCAAAGTGCACACACACAGCAGTGAACACACACACACCCGGAGCAGTGGGCAGCCATTTTTTTGCTGCGGCGCCCAGGGAGCAGTTGGGGGGCCGGTGCCTTGCTCAAGGGCACCTCAGTCGTGGTATTGAAGGTGTGAGAGCGCTGTACATGCCCGTATGAGACTCGAACCCACAACCTTTGGGTTACGAGTCCGACTCTAACCATTAGGCCACGACTTCCCCCATTACTATTTTTATATATTACAGTCCAAAATTAATCTATAAATAAAATCTTATATGTAAATAATAAAATTAATGTAATTAGATGTAATTTAATATAATTTAATTCATTTTAAATATATTTACATTTATTTATATAAAATTAATATATTTATGCATTTATCTCATAAATATATTTATTAAATATATATTAAATACAGTTATATAGAGTTAATTTACATATGTTATTTATATTTTTGTATATTATAAAATTTTACAATTCAAAAATAATCTACATCTATAATTAAGATATACTACTATATAAACAATCAAATATATAAATCGATTTTTCATTTGAAATATATTTACATTTTTCAACAAAATTAATATTTATCTCATAAATAAATTTAATTAAATATATTTAATTTTATTCAAATACAGCTCATTTTACATATAAATTACATATTTAATATTAATTTAATATTATATTTAATATTTTTAATAATATTTAATTAGAAAGATTCTACAATCACAGGTCAAAATTAATTTACAATTAAAATAGCATAATAATAAAATAAAATAGATTTGAATTGTATGTATATATACATAAAATATATATATATATATATATATATATATTCTAATTATATATTTTAATTATATTTGTTTTATAACATGAAATATAGAATTTAAATATATATTATGGAATATGGAATATAATGTATAATATTATAAATATTATAAAAGAAGATATGTAATAAAAAGACAAAAATAACCCATGCATAAATCAAAACCATATATGTGTAATTCTAAAAACTTTTAAAATAATATATATTAATGAAATATTCCTACTGGTGGCATTTCAAACACTGATTATTAATATAATGTCACGTCATGTGACACATCATGTGTGTTTTTTTCTCGTGGAATTTATACCGAAAAAATAAATTTTTATGAATTCAAATTTCATTCCATTTTAATTCTAATTCCTTAAATTCAAATGACAACTCTGGGCATCATATTTAAAATGCATTCTCTATTTAATTGAACACTTTCTAGGTGAACGCCCCATTTCCTATTTTTACCTCGTCTTCCATCACAGCATGTACAGACAGCTCACATACACACATCTCTCTCTCTAATGTCCCATGGCTTGCAGGCTCTGTTCATGTCCCGTCCCACTCACTTCTACACACACAATGACTGTCAGCTATAGACTCCTGATCTAACTGCATGCTGACACCACAAATGAAGCAGCTTCACACGGCACGACTGCCAGAGCCTCTGGCCAGCTTTACTCTCTCTCTCTCTCTCTCTCATGCATACTACATCTAAAGTCTCAGCACACTTTCCCTAGCCTTAAATGATGTATTGGTGCTTGTCAAAATTATTCATGCTTAAAAGAAGAGGTTGAAACGCGGCTTTGATGTGCTGTCCAATTATGGCCATGTATAAGTAACAAACAGATGTACTGTCTTCCTATTACACAGACAGGTGAAGCTGGTTTGCATAAGGGAGATGAGATAAGCAAACTTGTAACAGTGATGTCAGCAAGTATTCACATTCAAAGCAAAAATTCTGATGTACGTGGCAACAGGACACTCCACAGTGCAGGGTAAACAAAATACAGACCTCATTTAATCACATAACCAACAGTGTAGGAATAAAGGAATGCAACATAATTGTACATATTAATTTCAACCAATCCCAAAGGATTCTAATGGAACTCTCAACACTATGGATTTAACTTTATTTGTATGGCAAACAGTGTTATTTTAGTATTATTTATATACTATTTACAGTTATTGAATTAGCTTTTACACTGTAAGAACGAAATCTGTTAAAACAGATAATGTCCTGCCAGAAAATTACCAATGTCTTCTCCGTTTCATTTATGAACATTTCCGTGGACATTTCCATTTCCAACACAATACAATGCAATTCATAATTCAAAACACCTGTGAAAAAAATCTATATGGAAAATTACTTCATTTTAACACAGCACATGGAGCTGCATTTTTATGGACTTTGCGTAGTGTAGTTCTATATTTTCAGTTTTCATTTTAATTTATTTTTAGTAATTTTGTTATGCGCTTTTATTATTTGTATTTTTTATTTTTTATATTTGTTTTGTTTTTAAAAATTTTATTTATTTTTTATTTTTTGGTTGCGCTGTAGGCTATGTTGCTGATACACTAAAAGTCAGACAGCACTGCTCGTGTTGTGTTTTTCGTGCAGCTCAATAGAAGGATGTGTTTTAAAGACGTCTTTTAATCGCATCAAATTCACTTCAGACTGCAAACTGACATTCACAACTTGTGTAAAATAAGATTTCTTTTTCTGTGGCGCTTTCAGTGGCAGGTACACATTGCATTACACTAATTACTGCATGCCTTTTATGTACAATATCTGCAGTTAAACAAATAAAGAAATGCCACTGAAAGGGCACAGAAATGCAGACATTCCTTCAGGCCTGATAAGCATCCTGAACAGAAAAGGTCAACGTCTCCAGAGACTCAAGAAATACAGAAGACTGATGAGACGGGATTCACACATCAAAAGAGACAAACGGCAGCATCCTCAGCACCTCTGCCTATCTATCCAAATGTGTTGATGCCAAGAAAAGACTCCCACATTGCCTGTTCTCGTTGTTTCCAACACCCACTGTGACACCCACCATTGACGGACTGTGGCCAGTAAAAACACGGTCACATTAGTGAAATTTTTCAGGCAAAAAGTCTATTGTCAATAGTGCAGCAATGTATTAAGCACAGCTCACAAAAGCTTTTTGCTAGTCAACATGGCAAACTCAAGCGACCGACTTGCGAAATCCCTCAACGCGAAATTGCAGATCGCATGGATTCCTACCCAGCTAACAAAATATGTTATAAGGAGCCATTCACGCAAAACAGATGAGTTTTTCAAAAGCTTTTAACTTGAGCACACAGCAATTTTACAATGCTGTGTCATGCATGAGATGCTGCAAAAGACGTGAGATGTGAGTGCAACGGTCAAACACGCCAGTCTAGCTAGTGTTTACATAGAAACAATGAAAAAGTAGCGCAGTGGAATGGAAAAAACATGTTCTGTGTGAACAGCCAATAAGAATGTTTTGCTAGCATTCTCATTAAGTTACGTTATTTCAAACCAATTTTGAATGTTTTATAAACATTTTGTCATTTAACCTTATGCTAATGTTAAGAGAACATTCTATTTTGCAACCACTGTTATTTTAAATGTTCTCTGTACCAGATAACTTTGAAGGATCATTCTGTTAATGTTACTGGAAGAATGTTCATAACTTTGAGTGAGAGAACCTTGTTAGAATGTTAGTCAAAGTTCTGAGAACCCTCCATGTTAGCTAGTATTTAAATTTCATGAAATGATGGGATTATGCCCACGAAATGTAAATGTGACCGCAACTTAAAGGGATCATATGATGCTTTTTTAAAGATCATTATTTTGTGTATTTGGGGTAACAGAATATGTTGACATGCTTTAATGTTCAAAAAACACATTATTTTTCAAATACTGTACATTATTGTAGGTCCTCTATGCCCCGCCTCTCTCAAACGCTTCGTTTTCTAC